TTATTATATACAAAAGCGAGAAGAGAAAGGGGCACCCGCGCAAGAGCACAAATCCATTTATCCGAGAGTTATTACCGATAAAACCTTTGCATTCTCGTGCACAGAGTCCTTGTTTTGAATCCGGTTTTGTCTATTTCGAGTCCGGGTTTTCAGAAGTCAAGTCCGGGTTTTGTTAAACACGAGTCCGAATTTTCTTCGAGTCCGGGTCTGGGTTTTTCTCGAGTCCGGATTTTCTTCGAGTCCGAGTCCGGGTCCGAGTCCGGTCCGGGTTTCGAAGTATGCCAACAATAAATTGCAACACTATCGCAATTTTTAAAACTTCTGAAGGTAATTTCAGAATTTTTGATTCTCATTCCAGAGATTCATATGGCATACCACACCCATTCGGAAAATGTGTGTTAATTTCAGTTGAAGATTTACATAACCTTACAACCTATCTTCAAAACACTGTTCCTCCAGGAGATGCAATACCGTTTGAAATAAAGAGGGTAACTGTTGAACAATGCGGGTCTGAGGAACCAGAACCTCACAAACAAAAGCGACTGGATAATGGTAGAACGTATCAAAAAATTAAACGAGCAGCTGAGACTGAATCAGAAAGACAATTAAGACTTAGAATTTAAATGTCAGGGAAAGTCAAAAAACAAAACGAGCCACAGAGCCAAACTTTGTAAAGCAACTTATATAGACTTGAAAATAGACGAAAACATGATAAAAGATAAAAACAAGCAAATGAAACTGGTGTTCAACAGCAAGCCAAGAAAAGCAGAACTTCACAAGAATTGGAAACAAATGTTGATACCACTGAATTCTCATCAAAGCTGTTCAGTCAATGACAGTGAAACTAAAAATCAAGATAATTATTTGAAAGAATTTGACTCAATTAAGAATGGTAGTGTTCATGAACAATTTTGGGCGAAAGCTAATATTAAGAAATTTCATAAATCTGTTGAATTTTTCATCAGTAAATGTTCCATTTGTCATGGGGCATGGTCTCTGAAATCTAAAGCAAAATCACCAAGTGATTATGAATGTTCGCGATGTTTTAGAGATAAAAAATCTCCTAAAAAGTTTTCACTTGAAAATTCAATGATTCCTTCTGCTATCCCACAGGAGTTAAAAGATTTGACTCAAGTTGAGGAAATGTTGATTGCTTGAGCACTCCCAATCATGAGAGTCTATATTAAACCAGGTGGACAACGAGGTTACTCAGGGCATTGTATCAACTTGCCACAAAATGTAAAGGAACTGGCCACATCTTTGCCTAGATGAATTGTCTGTTATCATTGTCAAAGCTAAAGGTAAAAGTAACACATTTAAAGATTTGACTGTAAGGAAACAAATAGTGCACAATGCTTTATTATGGCTAATACAAAATAATCCTCATTATTGTGATTTACAAATTAATGCAACTGCATTAAATTCCTTGTCTGAAAATGGTGTACCACCAGATCTCATGACTGTTGAAACTGATGATGATATAGTCTCAGATGATAATTGTTCTCCTGATTTTGGTTCTCCTACTGATAACCCCTCAGAGGATATTGTATATAATGACTCAACTGAAATGAGTAGTTTTCTACCTGTTGGTGAACAACAACAACAGGAAATTGATGCTGTTAGAAAACATCTTTCTGAAAATGAACCCACGCCTTGGCCTACAATTGAAACTGAACCAATTAATGAATATCAGATACACATTTGGCTACAATGGCTTTCCCAACATTATTTCCTGATGGGAAAGGCGACCCTACTAATTCAGGCAGCGGCGTAGCCAGCTCGGATAATTAGGAGGTCCATATTCATATATTCGTGTTCACAGACCTTAAAAACAATCGATTTCAAAAGAAATTAATAATGCAGAACACGAATATATGAATATGGACCCCCCCCCCCCAGCTGGCTACGCCGCTGAATCCAGGTCTATTAAGAGATGTTCCTCTTCAATAACGAATTAAGCATCTTCTCAAATTTGCTAAAGTTATTCATGGTAAATGGATCTACCGTTTTGCCAGCCATCCCAGATTTTCATATTGGGCTTTTAATATGATCCAACGAAAACGTATTTTCAGCAAAGTGGGATATTCCTAAAACAAAATCCAGGTGAAGCACATCTCACCATTGATGAACTACGAGAAATGGCTGCCAGTAACAACTCTAATGTTTTTATGTCCAAGCTTTCCAGGTACGTTGGCAATGCTAATGCTTACTGGAGTAGAGTAAGAGAAGAACTCAGAGCCATTATAACTAGTGTTGGAGCACCAACATTATTTTTTACTTTCTCCTCTGCAGATATGCATTGGCCTGAGTTACATGCTTTATTAAAAGCGAGTACTGATTGCGAAACGGGTAGTTATACCAGTAATGTAAGACGACAAAATGTCATTAACAATCTCCATGTTGTGGATTGGTTTTTCACGCAAAGATAAGAAAGTTTTATAAAACACTGGATTTATGAAACACTTGGTGCAAAAAGGCACTGGTTTCGATATGAATATCAAGGTAGAGAGGTAGTATCCATTGTCATGGTACTGCTAAACTAAATAATGACCCAGGTTTGTGTCAACTTACTCAGACTGCTTTGAAAGGTTTCTTAGCTCAAAAATTTAAAGATGAAAATGATTGTTCTGACACAACTGAACTAGATCAGGATATTGAAGCTGGCCAGAAAGCAGCTGACACAGTATGTCAGCATGTTGATTGGTTATTATCAACTGTCAATCCTAATCCACCAGATGAGGACATGTGGATAAGACCTGAGGTTCATCCTTGTCAAAGAAGTCATCACGACATTCCTGAACATGAAAAACAATCAGATTATGTAGATCTATTAAACATAGTTCAACGACACACTCGTTGTAGTACAAGTTATTGTCTTAGAAAGAAGTCAAATGAAACAGAGTTGAAATGTAGATTTCACTTCCCTTTTGATATTTGTCCTAAGACAAAATTAGAATTTGAAAAAATTCACACTTCAGGTGATTATGAGCATTATCGAGCTAAGATTGTGACTAAACGAAATGACTCAAGGTTAAATAACCATCAACAACTTCAACTCCAAGGATGGAGAGCTAACTGTGATATTCAAGTTGTTATTGATCACCATGCTTGTGTTGAATATCTCACAAAATATGCAGCTAAAGGTGAGCCAAGATCACCTATATTGAAACAGGCATTCAATTCTATTGTGCAAAATTAAATGTTGACAGTAATACTGAGCCTCGTAGAGTTATTAAGAAGGTAGTTATGAAATCTCTTTGGTGAAAGAGATTATGCAGCTCAAGAGATAATGCATCATTTGTTGTCTTTAAAACTCCACAGCTCATCCTTTAAAGTGATGCCAGTTAGTCGAAATGGTTCACGTAGAGTGCGTGATACTGCAAGTATTGATGAGGGTGAATCGTGCACTGATTATTCACTTCTTGATGAGTATGCTAATCGTGAACAATATGAGAGTTCACAAAATATAATAAATATGAACTTTGTTCAATTTGCCAGAGAATATTATACCACGAATATTTCCAACATATTCTCCTAATCCCAAAGGTCCAAATTTTGGGCTGCATTGTAAATATCATCTTTTGAGGTATAAACCGTGAAGAACAACCCTAAACAATGCATGGGGTGACCCAGAACCAACTGACGAGGTTCTGATCAATTGTTGGCATCAATTTTTCAAACACCTTATGGGCAGTCTAATGTCCCAGACTGGTTTTATAAATTACAAGCTGTTATTCAGACTGAAGAAGCAGAAGATTAACCTTCTGAAGAACAGCAGACAACTCGAGAAGAGTGGATGATATTATCAGACAACACACCTTTTGACAAGTCTGAACGAGTCCTCATATGACTGGCATCTTGACAGAGCCAATTATTCAGAACAACAAATCCAAGAAATGCCAACATGGATAAAAACAAACAAAGAGGAATATACTATTGATGAGCAATATGTTGTTGACATCAACAGTTTTAGTGAAATGCAAAAACTTGCTTATGATATTGTTAAGTCTCATTTTGATGATGTATCATCCGAGAAAGAGTCATTATGTCTAATTATAAATGGTGTTGCAGGAACTGGTAAAAGTTACCTTATTAATGCTATTAGAAATCTGTTGCAAAGTAAATGTACTGTTACTGCCATCACAGGTATAGCAGCTTATAACATTAGAGGTGTAACTGTGCATTCTCTATTACCTATAGCATCAAGAGGTAATAAAGACCTATCAGGATAAAGCTTGTGTAGGTTACAAAAGAGTGTTAATAACATTGGATACATTATTATTGATGAATACTCCATGCTTGGCCAAGTTACTTTTGGTTGGATAGACAAGCGTTGCAAACAAGCAACTGGTTATAATGACAAGGTATTTGGAGGAAAATCATTGATTTTAACTGGTGATCCAGGTCAATTGCCACCAGTAGCAGATAAACCTTTTTATCGTGCTAAACCATCAAACGCTGTTGGTGAACAAGGTTACCAAGCATATCATATGTTTGACAAAGTTGTTAAACTTACTGTAAATCAACGTGTGCAAGATATGACATCTGAACAAGTACAGTTCAGAGATTAGTTATTGCGACTTCGCAAAGGCAACTCAACAGTTGATGACTGGAAGTTACTTCTGATACGCCAACCATCAAATGTCACTAATTTATGTGACTTTGAAGATTCTACTAGACTCTTTTATAGTAATTAACAAGTTGCTAATTACAACCATGAGCAGCTAACAAAACTTGAGCATCCAATTGCTCGTATTAATGCTCGCCATGCATCAGCATTGGCCAAAAAGATATCCTCAGATGATACGTTTGGTTAGAACCTGTTGTGTTTCTAGAAAAAGGTGCTAGCGTCATGTTAACCATGAATTCGTGGTCAAGTGTTGGCCTCTGCAATGGAGCTACTGGAACAGTTGTTGATATTATCTATCAGAACAACCATGAACCACCTGACTTATCTATTGCGGTAATAGTAGAATTTGAAAACTAGAGAGGACCGGTTTTTAATGAAAACCAACCATTGTGTATCCCAATATATCCAATCACTGTCAAATCACAGACAGAAATAAGTTTCCATGAGAGGCAACAGTTACCTCTTAGACTTGCTTGGGCTCTAATAATACACAAGAGCCAAGGACTTACACTTCCAAAAGCATGGATAGACATTGGCAAAATCTGATAGAACTGCTGGAGTGTCTTATGTTGCTATTAGCAGAGTAAAGTCACTTGCATCTTGTGTCATTGAACCAATGACGTATGAACGATTAACAAGCTTGAAATCATCAGCTAACTTACAATATAGGCTTGAAGAAGAAAGCAGGCTAGATCAGTTAGCACAGGCTACTACAATCCTGGCAAAAATTATGTGGACACAACATAACTTTTCTAACGCCAATATTAAAAAATGTTGTTTCGCGCATTTAAATTTTAAAAGTTTCATTTACCAACATTGAATTGGGGGTAGGAGGGGGAGAAATTTTCTGGGGATTAATTCTGTAAAAATACATCTATTTTTGTTTGACGCACGCGGTGTCCACAATAACTTTGCCAGGATTGTAGCAGTGCATTTAGAACAACGAGCTATTAAATTGAGTTTGAATAAGAGAGGAATTTCATATATGGATCCCAGTTATAATTTGGTATGTACTTTGACTATACATGCCCTTTTAAATAATTTAATTTATTATATAGTAACTAATTTACTCTTGTCATCACTGCAGGTATGAAAATATTATGATTTGCAAGACAAAAGAATGGTAAGTTTTTTGTTTGTTTAACCCCTCCCCCTGCCCTACTTTTATTTTCAATCATTTATGTTCTACTATGTTTCCAAATAAATATCTGATGCTACCAATAATTTTTTTCTATAGTTTTGCAATGCTGACGGATGTGAATGGTGCCATGTTAACTGCTGGATGAAACCAAATGGTTGTTACAGTCAAAATATAATATGGATATATTACATCGCATGTAATAGGATGGGAGGTTCTGTATTAACCGAAATGTATTCCTATTAAAACACGAATGCTGATTTACAAGATTGTATGGATTATTACATCGATTCGGATGGAATCGGCCATGTATTATTAAATTACCGTACTTGTTTCCAATCTACCATAATGGATGGCAGGGACATTGTATATCAAGATATTACATACATGTGTATGTACAGTAACCTAACAAGTTATTGGACAATAATGATGGCCAACAATGGACACTACATGCTAATTGAATATATATACATATTGGACAAAAAACAATGGTAACAATGTTTACCAAATGAAAAGACAACAAAGGACCATCATTACTTAGAAAGAATTATTAAGAATATGAAAACTCGCAACAAAGTGAACAAACTTAATCGTATCACATTAAAAGACATACATTTGTTCTTTCTAATTATTTTTTCAAGACGTTTTCACAAGTAAAGACTGAAAAATTATTTTTATTGACATTTAATGTCAGTTTAAAATATTGGCACCAAAAATAAAATGACATTGTATAAATATAAAATTCCAAAGTACATTTCACAGTATCTAGTAATTATTGCATGTTGTAATTTCGATACTTTTTTGAACAGAATAAATTCATTCATACAGTGTGTATAAGGCAATTTAAATAAATGAAGTTTATTGGTATAATCAATCCCCCACGGCTTTGGTCGTAAGGTAGCCCTTCCCTTGCGATAGTAACTTCTAGTTGAGGTCAACTGGAAGTGGTCTAGCTACAAAGCTAGCCGCACACGAGAGCTCTTGACGTCGGGACTCGCGAGGTCCTTATCTCAGTCGTTTGCCCGCCGCCCAACTCAATTAAGGCCTAATTACACGACGAGCGAAATGCGAAAAATTTCGCGCGAAAAGGTTGAACGCATGCGCAACATGATTTTGGAGTGTTTCTCTGCGAAATATTTCTCTTCGCTGGGTAGTTGAATTTGTTTCTACTCCGTTGCGAAATGGAAATAGCGAAGCCAATCAAATGCTTGTGTTTTGGATGACGAAATAACGAAGCCAATCAAATGCTTGTGTTTTGGCGAATTTTTCTCTACCGTGGAAATCACTACGACAGAAAATTTTCGCACAAGTGTGTTTTCGCGCGAAATTTTTCGCATTTCGCAGCTCGTCGTGGAATTAGGCCTTTAGGGCGCCCCTAAACAAGGATAACAAAGTGGGGAAGTTGATGTATTTCAGCAAATTTTGCATCTTTTTGACGTATCCCTCCCCGTTGCCACTTTAAATGGGCAGGACCAATTAGGGCCCTATTCCAGTTAAATCACGGGAGCCCTTTAGCACAAAGTTACGTCACTGCCGGTTGCTCAACACTTTCTTTCGTGTGCGCATGGCTTTTGCTGAAAATGTTACCTCGCGAGGTTATGAGACAAAGATCTATCGCAGTGATAGCTATCTCAGGAACTTGCTATAAGCTACGGCCCAGTCATCATGAGCCTCCTCCCAGGCGCTTTGATGTGCTAGCGGTTGCGTGACGCACGCGCGGGATGGGCTCTCATTGCTGAGGCTAGCCTCTCATGGTAGTTTATTGTTATAGCTCAACGAAGAGCATGATTACTCGTATAGTCTCGTATAGCATATAATCACTGATGGCCTTTTAAATGATAAAACGACATAGTGAAACCATTGTACTATATATTCTCGATATATACTATCAACGACTGAACGACTCACAGAGCTTCGGCAATATGTATACAGGGCATCCCCAAAAAAACCCAAATCCATCAATAAAATAACATATTGTTAACATTTGAATGCCCTAGCACTAAGCTGAACGCAAAGATGCGTAAAATATTGACAGGGTGCATATATTAAATATTGACTTAAAGCGCACGATTTTCTGCTCTTGGGAATTTTTAAATTTAAAAAGCAGCTTCTTAATTAAAGGCGGATTTCCAATCCTCGCACGAAGCTCCTCGCTGCGAGTGCTCGCAGTATTTAATCTGTGTATTTTTACCCATGGCATACTTCAACAAGTAGATTTATCCTTCAGATTGTGACTTAGTCATATTTACAAACATTGAGCTTAGTTTTAAATTGATAATTTTTTTAATTTTAATTTGTGTTTTGAAAGCCAATTTGCCACTAGGTTTAGACTGTGACGTCACGAAGTTTCCTATCCAGTTATTTTACAATCCATGGTTACACTAGTATAACTCAATTTTTTATTCTCCAATCGCAGTCGTTCAAGATATTATTACTCGCCAACCAGTAGATCAAATTTGACCGAACGTAAATGTACGTTTACCAGGGCCACGTTCGAACAGTTTAAAAAAGAGTTTTATCTATGATATGGTGCCTCCATTTGGAATTCTGTACCAGGAAACATACGAGAAAGCAAATTGCTATCAAGTTTTGATTGTCCATTGCCCAGCAGCAAAATTGCTAGAAAATCTCTTTCACAATGTTCCAAATTTTCGCTAGCTCTCGAATAAGGCAAATGTCAGTATTGAAAAATCCAAGATGTGCTGATGTGGAGCAATTAGGCCATCCTTAGATTTCCCAAGATGCGTTTAATTATGGTGGCTCCCTATAATTTTGAAATATGACAAAATCGTGATTTAGATTTAATTTTTTGAAAAGAGGTTTCTTGTTAGAAGACAAAAATTGTACCACATATATTGAGCAATCTTCTAAGCAGGGGCGAAACTTGAGGGGGGTATGGGTTGTGGGGGGTGACACCCCCCTAAAGTACGAATCATCTGGATTGGCAGGGCGAATCGTCTGGATTGGCAGGGCAACCAAAGATTTTAAATTATAGAATGTAGAGTTATATAGTAACTTACAGGGCTTCCAGAGGGGATTGAATAGAACTTATAGACCTAAACTTTACAGATATTGGTCCAAAAATAAGGGTCTCTCTCATCCATGTTTTAACAGGAATTTGTCCGTAAAAAATTTTTTGACCCTTAATTTAACTGGTTTATGTCCGGAAAGATTTTTTCGACCCGTTTTTGGAACTTCCGGAAAAAATTTTTTTTCAATTTTTTGTTCACATCATTCATTTTTCTAACTGAAAACGTTTCACTTTCAGGAAATAAAAAATGGGGTAACCGTTTTTTTTTTCAAGTAAAATGTGTTCAAAGGTAAAATGTCGGCCATATTGAAACGTCCTTGTTGCCATAGCAACGGTGATGACGTCATTTTTGTGAACAATTTTCAACTCTTAGAAAATGCTCAATATATGTGGTACTTTGAAAATGTATTTCGACGTTTCGACTAAACTATAGTCATCATCAGGAAATGAAACAATTAAACAAACATATGTGGTACAATTTTTGTCTTCTAACAAGAAACCTCTCTTCAAATAATTAAATCTAAATCACGATTTTGTCTTATTTCAAAAATTGTAGGGTGCCACCTTAATCGAAATTAGTATATATAATTTCATAGGTGATTATTGAAAATTCTCCTCGCTGATTGGTTGCCGTTGAGGTAATTATAACGCGATAATCACCTAAGCGATTTTCGAAATGGCGGCGAAGCCGTTTTTTTGACGAAGAAATGTGTATTTTAAATTTTTTTTTTCCAAATAATCACCATATGAAATTATACTAAAACAATTATTCACCTTATGCTGGGTGATTATCGTGAATAAAAACCTCGACTTCGTATATACTAAAATTATACTAAAATAGAATTTTAGTGTAAAACAGTTATTAATAAGCAGTTAGTCCAGTTATTCTTTTAGAGACCAGTTTATAAGCGCCGTAGTTCGAAATGTCAGCGGATGTCAAAACCACTGCTTTATCATCTAGCGCGAAGCAATCGATTTTGTTTACATACTCATTCAATACGCATCAGAGAATAAATATTGCAATTCTCAATATAACTTTTTAATTTCATTCCGTGTTCATTTGGAGACCGGGTGAATACCGAAATATCGGGGTTTTTTATGATTAGAACATGTCTAATCTTAGCGGGGAGACACTTTTAGCGTCAAACAGCTCAGACTTGGCGAACGATCAAACGACACCAAATCAATGTGATATTTGCAAGAAAGTACTTGCACATCCAAGCAGTTTAAATAGGCATAAAAGAATGCACAATGGACACAGACCACATGAATGTGATATTTGCAAGAAGAAATTTGCTACAACAACCCACTTAATTAGACATAAAGGAGTTCATTCTGGATACAAACCTTATGAATGTGATATTTGCAAGAAGAACTTCGCTACATCAACTCATTTAGTTCGACATAATAGATCACACACTGGCGATAAACCTTATCAATGTGACGTCTGCATGAGGAGATTTTCATTATCCAGCAATTTAAGAAGACATATTCAAAAGACTCATATTGAAAAGAGACCTTTTGAATGCGATGTTTGCAAAGAAGGGTTTGCACGTTTAAGGAACCTGGTAGCTCATAAAAGGAAACATATTGGCAGCAAGCCTTTTCAATGTGATGTATGCAAGCGAATGTTTGCCCAATCAAGCCACTTGACAACGCATAAAAGAACCCATACTGGAGACAAGCCATATCCATGTAATATTTGCAAGAACAGATTTTCTCGTTTGGGCAGCTTAAGACGACATAAAATGCTTCACAGTGGACGCAAACCCCATAAATGTGATATTTGCAACAAAACATTTTCTCGATTAGAACTCCTGGAAGTTCATAAAACAAAACATACCGGAGATAAACCTTATGAATGTGATGTTTGTAAAAAGCGCTTTTGGCAATCGGTCATTTTAAGAAGACATAAAACAACGCATTCGGGTAGCAAGCCCTATCAATGTGATGTTTGCAAGAAGTCATTTTCACGTAGGGAATATTTAAACTGCCACAAAAAAGCACATTTGTTGTGCAAGTGTTGTAGAAGAGAAATTGTCGAGGAAAAAGATTTACAAGATCATTTTACCGTGGACGAAAACTCCAGAACATGTTACGTTTGTAATGAATGTGGCAAACAGTTCTCTAATTTCAAGAAATTGGTAAGACATGTAGTAAGAGAGCATGGTGATAATACAGATTACCAATGTAGTGTTTGCCAAGAATTGAATTCAAATGAACCGACTGGTATTGGTTATGCTTGTTTCATGTGCGACCTTGAATTTGATGTTGCAAGAGAGCTTGAAAATCACATGGTTACCCATAATGAGCAAAATTAACCTTTGAATATTATGCTTATTTTACCCCCAAAGATTATCACCATGTGACAAATGTGTAAAAACCTGATCTGTTTTCGATTGGTAGGGATCCAATTACCTGAAAAGTACCAGATGACAAAGGGCCTTTGCTTGGAATGTCAAAGTTCTCCTTGTATTTTTCAGGTAGTTGCATCCCTATCAGTCTGAAGCTTTCTTATTATTGGCACTAGCCTGCACAGCAGTCGCTTTAATTTGTTGAAAGTTTTGAGAAATTTTGAATAAATGATGGGTTAGAAAGAATGGGAGAGGAAAAAAAGGGTCACGAGAAAAAATGGGCGGAGCCGTTTTCCTAACCCACCTAAACCTTCAATAAAATAAAGCAACTGCTACACAGGCTATACCTGCACTGGCACAGACCATTCAAGATTGTATCACAGAAAAACAGATCTTACTGTATAGTTTGGCAAGATCTGCTGTAACTCGTCCCTTAATGAGTTAAATAATCTGTCGTTAGACAGAGTTACCTAGAATAAGGTAGGGTACATTAGGACACAATGCCAGTGTGTTAACTAGGCACATAAACAGACACATAGACACCCTCCCCTTGATGAGGAAAATTGTCTGGCATTAGACAGTAAAATAATAAAGTAGGGTGCATTAGGGCGCAGTGCATCTCAATAGGTTAAGGTCCTGTAGTAATAGCGATTCATCGTATAGTTGCCATGTGTATACACAAGCAACGACACATGATGTTTGTACAAATATATAGTACATACTGTAATCATGTGATGAATGAATGAATGATAATATTTATTCAGGAAACCAACATCACAAGAAGTGTTTTTCAGATGGTTGCTGCAAAACATTAAAATACAAAGTATAGAAAATATATATATATATATATATATATATATATATATATATATATATATATATATATATATATATATATATATATATATATATATATATATAGTATTTACATATTGGTATATGGATATATATGATATACCAGAAAAATTATGAGACTATAGGATACATGATGCTGTACATATTTACAAGGATACAAAGAGTTAGTAAGTTATATTTTAAATATACTGTATGAGTATTATAAAGATAGATATTTGAGAAGTTCATTTCTAAAGGTTCTTAACTGAAAGTTAGGAACCTGACAGTTATTATTAGAACAATATTTTAACAGGAAATGCTCCACTGACCGTAGTGATTTTCAGAAAGTTCCTGCATACATGATATTATATATAGAATGAGTAATATATAGAAAAGATTAAATTTTATATAGAAAATATATATATATGCTGATTATTGATATATTATAAACTCTCTATTAGCCCCCTCCCCCCTCAAATAGGCACCATATATAACAAGGCCCCCTTTTAGATGAAGAAATTTATTAAGCCCCCTCTCTAATAAGCCTCCCTCTATTAAGCCCCCGGCCATATTCATTAAAAAACACAATGATCTATGACTATGGACCTATTTGTTTTTATATACAAAGGTATCATGATATAATTTTACAGATAAAGTCCCCTCTTTTTCAAGCCCTCCCTCTCCAGGAAGCCCCCACCTCAAAGGTGCTTGAAAGAATGAGCTGCCCGTGGGGCTTAATAAAGAGATTATGGTAAATGGTAATACTGT